AGGTTCTTTTCAAACTAAACTAAACTGGAAGACTGTGCTTCTACAGCACACCTGACGCATTACCATTGCTAATGCAGTCACCCTCAATGGGACTAGACGAGTGCTAGTCCGAAGGAACACCTCTTAAAGCGAATGTGAGACGAACTTAAGGTCCTCAGCACCAAATCTTTCCTTTACAAGTGTGCTCCCAAAGCACCACATTCTTGCTGATGTAGATATGGCCTGATCTCATTAAGAGTAATAGACAGCAAGCTATATACGAAAGAGATAGTCAGAACATTAGAAAGAAAGAGTTAATTTACATTAGATATTCACAATCCCAAGACACCTTTCGGAAGAACATAAGCTGGTGATATTGTGGAAAAAATAAGACACATTAGAACGATGTGGCAGATGTAAAAAAAACAACAAACCTATTAGCACAGACAAAGCAGTATACGAAAAGCTGAAAAGGCAAACCTTTTAACACCCTGTATTTATTCATTTAAAGTTTGGTCATAAAATATTAGCTAGAATTAACAATTAAACAAATATTCTCTCTAATAGGGATGCATCTGCTTGTTAAACCACCTGAAAGAATATCTACCCATGACATGTTTATTTTTTAAAACTTGTTTGAGTCAATCTATATTCTGGAGAGGAAGAAACAAAAGAGCTGCTTCTGGAACTAAGTGAATAGTCCTAGACCGAAAGCACGGCAGCGCATGGCTATGTAGTACACATCACTGCCACTGCCAAAAGGATTTGCTCAGACATGTCTCTTCCCCTCCTGCTCTCGACCAACATAGAGAAAGAAGTTAATTCAGAATTTAACGGGGAAAATACGACTGGCTTTCAAGGTGAAACTGTTTAATTTCATCAACATACTGCAGAGGAGAATTATAAATTATTCTCATAATTACCAACATGTATAAAACTCAGCCACTCTGCTTGCTTAACAGATGCAGCACATTGCAACAGACATTAAGAAAAATGTCTTGTTTGGTTTCTTTCCAAACAGTTGGTGAATCACAGAAGACATTTTCTCAACGTTTTATATATTACAAAACTGTCTAAAATAGCACCCACAGTAGACTCATGTAAAAAGTTCTCTGGCAATTCCAGTGATCACACAAATATTAAGACGTCTGTGACTATTCTTTATTTCTAATTGTTTAGGACAATGATGTTGTTTCACCAATCACTCTTAGTGCTGCATTCATTGTAAATACCTTTACACTAGAGCCTTTAAGCCAGTACTAATATTATTTAACTTTTAGCTGCTACTTAGGTAAAGAATGCATACAAAAAACTCTGTCAACGCTAAGAGCTCTTTCAAAAAAATAGTGAACCCTCAATGGAAACTTTGAAGCAGCATAACCCGAAAAAATCACAAAATGATTTGTCAGAAGGAGGAAGTCAGAAAAAACACAATTATACAGCATTGCTCTTGCGATGTAACCAGCAGTGAGTGTTGCAAAACTGAAGTTTCCCCAACCAGCACTATTTAACACACTTTTTTTTTCAAGAAATCACGAGATGAGCCTTCACACACCTTGAGCGCTTCCCAACACGCTACACGTTCATAAATTGTGGTGACACGTTCAACTGCTTTTTTTTCCTTTCTGCAAATATCAGCAAGTACACATATGTCAGAAGTAACTCTAATGAAAAAAAATAGAGTTTTGTTCCCTAACTGCGAAAATGCTAAGCAGCTAAAAGACAGGACACCGCCACCTCGCAGCGGAGGCAGACTGCTAACCGCCGCTTTCCCCTCTGCTCGTCACACGCCTTGGGGCACAGCCGGGGAAGCAGAACG